ACACTGACACGTCCAGATAAAAACCAGCATGCTCGCATACGGATTCATGTGCGCACACATACCATATCTACAAACTCGACGCCCACCACATCCACACCGTTGAACATTTTTTATTGCTACATTCCAATAAATCACATAATAATTATTAAACATGTATAGATTTCTTTTTCCTACTATAGAATTCAAATGTTTAACATAACATTATGTAACAAATTTCATTATAAATGTATACATTTTCATACATTATAAACTCATACGTAGCATTGTAAATATATTTCATTTATAATATTGCAAATAATTATAAATTGATAACTGTATGGCATTGATAAAAAATCATAATGTAAAATAATACTAATTATTGTAAGTAATATAAAAAATTGTAAACCGTGAAAAATAAATCATATGAGTGTCATGTTTTATCTTTATTGAGCATGCTCATGATTTGTTCGATCGAATCGTATGAGAATACTGGTGAAAATGTGTTTCATATATACAGTGAAACCTCTATATATGGGCACCTCCATAACAAGGGCACCTCGCTTATATGGGCACTCGTCGGAACGACCGATCGATTTTTGCTGTAAATGAACCTCTCTAAGAAGGGCACCTCTGACCTCTGCCCATGGGCACTGATTTTTAGCCCATTCTGTACTTTTACACCTCTCTTACATGGGCAGAGAGAATGAATATTTTCTTCAACATTGTTCTTTTTCTCATCGTACCTTATTGTTCGAAGAAAGGGAAAGAAAAAAGTTAGTCCGATGTAAAAAAGAAAATTACTCGTCGGTACATTTTTCGCCGTTTTGTCAATGAGAACAAGAGTATAAATTGTCATGTTATTTGACATTACTCTTCAATATCATTAATAAATGACGACGTGTCATTATCTCACGCTCGATAAGAAGATCGAATTGATCAACGACTATGCTGATGGCACTGGATTATCACAACGCAAATTATGTGATAAGTACAAGGTGTCGAAGGGTGCTGTATATAATATTCTGCAACGAAAAGACGAATACAAGCAGGATTTCCAATCAAATGCAAACAAAGGTGTCAAACGCAAACTGCGGAATGAGTCAAGCCACAACATCGATGAAACTGTTTTATCATGGTTCGCAGCACAAAGGGCAAAAAATATTCCAATCTCAGGGCCCTTGATTCAAGAAAAGGCACGCGATGTTGCTGAAGCAATCGGGCTTTCACCCGGGTAAGTCTCTTGAGAGCAACACATAATTTATAATACGTGCCATATTATTGAATTGGTTCACTGATCACTTGTTGAAGCTCTTGAAATGATTCGAAAACTTCATCTGCTCGCATCTACACGTCAACCACAACTCCATCAACTCGTCACTGAATTAGAATCGAAACTGACTGATGCTTACATTGATTCAAAAACTAGCAAGCAAAGTTCTATTATTGATTTCTTTTCAAAAGCTTGATTGTAAATACGAAAATAGAAAATAAACATAGACAAAATAAGATATCAAATAATTTAGAATAAAATATTGAATACACTCAAAGATATAAAGGTCGCTTAACAATACATAAGTATGGGTGCCCTTTGATGGTGTAGCTTCCAGAAACATTACGGATCGATATCTATACACAAAGCTCTATAACGCGGGCACCTCCGTAAGGTGGGCGATTTCAAATAGTCCCAAAGGTGCCCATCTATGGGAGGTTTCACTGTATATACATGTATATGTTTTTAAACATACATTGCCAATCAAAGACATTCTAATGATGTTGATATCAATTTGACGAACGATAATTGACGATGATGTGCACATTCGAATATAATTGATTTGATTAATCATCACATGATTAATTGAAATGATGAGACACGAATTAATTTCATTGTTTTTCATGTGCATAGATGTGAATACTTGTCCTTTGTTCATATACAGTCCTTCATGGACAATACATATTCTTTTCTTTCTTTTTTTTTGGACTAGAAGAAATTTCTATTCATCGTCATCATCGTAAAAACAAAAGCAATTAATTTGAATCATAAATCATAGATTAATTTTTTTGTATGACTTTTGAAAATTGATTAGAGTGCTTTATTCAAATGAACATATTCATTTTCTTGGAAACACAAGATCAACAAGTCTGTTGAGTACGACTGCACTGTCATTATATGAAAACTCGTTAAGACAAAGTCAAATAACTGTACAGAAAATTAAAAAGTTTTCATAAAATTCAATTTCTATCCCATCAAATGAATATTTCTGTTGAAATTAAATCACTAATAGGGTGTGGGTGTGTAGGTGGGTGTGAATGAAGAACATAGACACACCCACCAACTTGTGTTGCTTTGTTTTTTTTTGACGAATTTCCTTATATTTTTTGTTCCTAATGCAAACAATTGAATGTCAATTATTATTAGTATAAAATGAGTTTTACTTATTTAGAACTCGACAACAAGATTTCTATGATCAATATTCATCATCATACAATGATTCACATTATTGGCATGAAAATAATTCAAATTCATATGATTTTTATGGTTCAACATCCATCTCATACACTTTTACAACAAAATAGTTTTACTCAACAAGTTTATCTTAAATATAAACAAGAATATCTTGATGATAAAAAAGAAACATTGACATTGTAGAGAAAAAAAAGATTATTAGTTCAGTACATATTTACAATATTTCGAGAGAAACAAGCGACTGTTAAAAAAAAATGAAATTATGTTACATTGAACGTAAAAAAACGAGTCTCTTAAGAATAAAGAACAGTCAACGTATCTAAAAACAACAATGAAAACTACTCTCCGGTAAAAATCAGAGTCTAAAAATACTTGTATTCTTATTTAAATAGATAATAGAGAATATGTCTGTTGCTATAATTTTCAAAAAAAAAACAAAGATTTGACTCTTTTATGGAGTTTTTTTAATAAATACTATCATTCTTATCTACATGATAAATTTGAAAAGCAATAAAATAATCGTCAATGATTAAAAACACTAAGTTTCACTAATCGCCAAACTTTATTATTTCATAGAAAATATTTATAACCTACAGTTATGTTGATTTACAAATAAGATACATTTTTTTTTCTGTAAAGATCTAATTTCTAGAAAGCGTTAAACTTGGTACTGGTCAATCAATGGAAATGGATACACTCTATCGTTTTTAGTCATTTTTCTTATGAAAAATAATAAGAAAAAAGTTGAATATTATTACCCAAGAGATTCAATCCGACCTGTGGATCCTACCGGAAACCGATTGGATCCGAAACGGATTGCATCGGAATCCGACGCCTTCCGTTAAAACCGATCGGATCCGAACCAGTTTGCGTCGGATTCCTTGCACAGGATTCCGGACCGGATTACGTCGGAAAATATCCGTTCGACGGATTCAAACGGATTTCAAATCCATCCGACAGAATCCGATCGAGCGGCTTTCCTTGGTTTGAATCTCTTGGGTGCCTTTTGGAGAAATCGAGATACCCAAGAGATTGAATCCGACCTGTGGATCTTACTGGCAACCATCGGATCCGAAACGGATTGCATCGGAATCCGACGTCTTCCGTTAAAAACCGATCGGATCCGCTCCAGTTTGCGTCGGAATCCTGTGCAAAGGAATCCAGATCGGATTACGTCTGAAACGTCGGATTCAAACGGATTTGAAATCCATCCGACAGAATCTGACCGAGCGGCTTTGCCTTGGGTATTTATGTATAGATATGGTGTTGAATGTCTATTTCGATTTTATACATATGATATAGAAAAACATTTTCGTCAACATGTATTTGAAAATTTTCAACATGAAACTCTTTGTAATCATGAAGCTGATAATAAAATAGATTACACAAAAAAAAAGAAAAGTGTCAATAACAAAAATAATTTTTCTATTTAGATCTATTATATGGTTTAGAAAAATTCTGGGTATTTTTAAAATATTCTCGACAAAAACCAAAAATCAATTCAAAACTGGAAGAAATTTTAAAATATTATAAAAATCTTGAAGATTTTCGTGTTGATGGTGCATCATTTCCACAACAATTTTTTCCAACAAAATCAAATTATAGTAATTGAAAAACATTGTTTTTTTTTTCTATTATATAAATAATTTCTTTATAGACTGTTCCAGCATCCGAAGCAATTCAAATTCATTAAAACCCAATGGTGAACAATATCTGAACGGTGCTAAACTTTATACACGTTTTGTTTTTCTTTTATTTTGTCTAAAATAAAAACAGTGCTCACATTTTTTCAAGTGGATTTCGATTTATTTAAAAGTATGCATGTATTTTTTTTTTGCTTTCAAAGTTTATTGTTATTTAATCATTTTCTATGTATATATTACATTGGTTTGTTATTGTAGTAGATAGATAGATTAAATAGTGATGCATTTTCTTTTTCTATCGATAGAGATATGAAGAATTTTCATATGGTTTCGTTTTGTTTCTGGAACTATTTGCTAATAAATTCATCTCGTTTATTTAATAATATTGGTAAGATATTGAGATAATATTTTATTTCGATAGAAGAATTTAGTGTTTTAGGAAGAATTGATATTGGTTTAGGTATTGGTGGTGGTGTGATTAATTCTATACTTTATAATGGTAAGTAATGAAAAGATTAAAAAAAACTTGTTTTCTTTAAATTTAAATATATTCTAGTTGATGATGATCATCGAGATATTATTTTTGATCGTTTTCAAGGTGTTAAACTAGATGTTATTGAAGAAGGAACTCATTTTATGATTTCATGGTTTCATAGACCAATTATATTTGATATTCGTACACGACTACGATCTGTTCCATCGATAACAGAAATAAAAGGTATAAAAGCTAGAAGAAAACAGTCAACTTCAGAAGAGAGATGAACATGAGGAAAATGTAAGCTCACGAAAAAAAAAGAAGGTAGATACAATGTGTATTGGAACATCAATGAATGTATATGGCTAAGGTATTTTAAACAATTTTGCAGCCATCGATGGCGACTCAACTGATCGGTTTACACCTCTACACTCTCATCATTCACCAATCTTAGGAATCTTCATAAAACTTAAAACGGGAAGTCTCCGTCATTTTCTCTTCGTATAAATGAAATATGCGTAAATTACATTTTATTATTTTTATTTTAGATTTACAAACAATTAATATAACATTACGTATTCTTTATCGACCAAGAGCTGAACTTTTACCAAAAATTTTTTGCAAATTTGGGTTTAGATTATGAAGAACGTGTTTTACCATCGATTATTAATGAAGTTTTAAAATCTGTTGTACTAAGTCTCAATTCGATGCTATTGAATTGATTACACAACGTACACTTATTTCTCAACGTGTTAGTGAATTATTAACAGAACGTGTTGCTCAATTTGGTTTATCATTTGATGATATTTCAATTATAAGATACAACAAAAAAGAGTCTCGAGTTGATTATATTGCTTTTTTCTTTAAATTAGACACATTTAAGTTTTAGACCTGAATTTACAAGTGCTGTTGAATTAAAACAAGTTGCACAACAAGATGTTGAAAAACAACGATTTCTAGTCGAAAAAGTAAATCAATAAGAATAAAATTTGTATGAGTTTGTTTTTTTGATAAAAAAAAAACAGACGGAACAAAGTCGTCAAGCAAATGTTACTGCAGCAGAAGATGATACTCATGCAGCTGATTTGATTGGCAAAGCTTTAGATGAAGTTGGTGATGGTAAATTTTCGAATATCTTTTATTATCCTGTCTTACTTTGTTTTAATATTCATGTTAGGTTTGATCGAACTTCGACGAATTGAAGCCGCTGAAGGTATTGCAAATCAATTATCAAAATCAAGAAATAGCATCTATTTACCACATGGTCCTCAAATGTTACATAACATTACTGGTGCTGTGCAATAAAAATATTGTTTTTTGTTTTCATAGTAAACTAATGAGATTGATTTAGGAAAATAAAAAGAACATACAAGAAGTTTTTTTTGCATGTGTGTGTGTTTACAAACCATTGAGAATACTAAAGCATTGTATTGTCCTGTTTTTTGTTTGATTAATGAAAAAGAAGATCAGATCAACAATTCTCTAGATGATATTAAAGATTCGAGTACGATTGAAATGATGAATTTCGATAATCTCTTTCGATGTTTTATATTAACTCAATCATTTGTATGTGGTTGGAGAAATCCGTTTCATTTACAAGAAATTTTTACCTATCGACGTGGAAAAATTGATGTAAGAGATGAGTGTTTAGAACTTGTACCAGCTGGAAATGTACAGGAAAATACTGTTGAAATAATTAAACAAGAAACAAAAAGGTAATCAAAATTATATAAATGCTCGATTTCGTTCACCACTTGTCAATTATTTACCACATTTGGTAAGTAATTAAAATTATTTTAATCATTTAATTAATATTATCTTTTTCCTTTTGCTATATTTATTTAAAGAGAACAAAATGTTTGATCAGTAAAAAGGATTAAATGATCAGTAAAAAAAGAGATTAATGATCAGTATAAAAATTGAACGATCAGTACTAAAAGTATCAGTAAATAATAAGAGAATGATCAGTTTATTATATATAATTACCAGTAAAATGTACAATTTATTCCAGTAACAAATACAAATTTGATCAGTATAATATACAAACTTTATCAGTAGAAAAATAAGTTTTAACCGTATTAAATAAAAAATTATCAGGAAAAGAAATTTAAATAATTAAAGAACACTCCAAAAGAATATTTTATAGAAATCTAAAGAGTGAGTGAGAAAAGAGTAAATGAATAAGCATTTTCTTCCAAAACTTCGTCGGATAAATTGCTTGTATATTGTGCAACCTCTACCATTTTCATTTCTTTCATTTGTTAAAATTTGAGTAATGATGAGCAAGAGGATGGAAATAAAGAATTTATATTTGTTAGTATTTAATCTCAAATTCAGTCCAATCTTAGATCCACTTAGGTCAACCTGGAGTCTCATTCTGGACTAGTGCAATGCCAGATTAGGAAAGCAGTTTTCGTTAAAGCCTTCACTAGCGGTCAGATAAATATTGCATTAGAATAATATTGCTGAACTAGATTAAAACGATGGTATTCCGACATTGTGATCATCACTGAAGAAACGAAGTTAAGACACGAACACTTATAGATAATTTTCTATAACAGCTGGTCTGCTATAGAAACCTATTCGCAAGTTCTAGAACCCTAAATTAATTTCTCTATCGATGATTATATTAGGTGAAATGTCATTTTTTCAAAACAGTTCAGTAAGAAGTATTCCAAATTAATAACTATCCAGGGAGAGTTAAAAGTTTTCACGAAAATCAGCTTCTCAATCCGACATTTGACCAGGCAAATGAGTCTCATATTGGCTAGGTACATCTGAAATTGGATTGACGCCGAGATTGGGCACTAATATATATACGTTGCACTTGTTATCTGTACGACATAGTTGAAAAACAGAAAAAATGAACCACACTATAACACATTTGAATTTCTATGCTCATCTTTGTATTTAATTTACTGTTAATTAATTATATTTACTGATTCTCAAATTTATTTACAAATCTTATCAATGAATAACTGATCATCGAAGTAATTTACTGATCAATTATCCAGTTTACTGATCAATCATTCGATCTACTGATTTTATAATATTCTAACGTACTGATCATTTCATCTATTTTACTGATCACTTAAATCTTAGCCTTATTTAAATAGGTTCCATCTCAAGTAGCCACAGCTCATTTTCAACTTGTTCTATCACATGATCATCCTTTTGGTATTGATTCAATTCCAATAGGAATTTGTTATGCTGGAACAGGTGACCATAGTTTTAGTCGACGAAGGTTATTTACTGCAGTTCCATTAATTAATCAATATCGTATAGGTTCAATTCTTCTTGAAAATCCATATTATGGTTTAAGAAAACTACCAGATCAATCTCGTTCATCATTATTGTATATTACCGATTTATATATTATGGGTAAAACACTTGTCTTACTTCATTGGTGTCAAAAAATGAAATTAACATCAGCTATTCTACATGGTTTTTCTCTTGGTGGACATATGGCTTCATTAGCATTTACAAAGTAAGATTCAATTCTATTATTTGATCTATTTAATGAATGGATATACAGTATCTATCATAATTTCAAATAATGATTCAAGTAAAGCAAACCATATAACAAAAAGAATATAAATTAAAAACATTGATTATTTGATTCCCTAAATTAGGATTTTTTTAGTCAACCTCTAGACTTCTTTCAAAGCAAATCTATCCGGTAAGGTTTTTAGAGTGAATTGTTAATTGTTAGGTCTATATTCAAACCATTAATGAGAGTCGAAAAACCTGCACAAGATTCACATGTTTACAATTTATTATTCGGCAGTTATAGATATACTAGTCGAAGCTATAATCAATTTTTCTGACAATTTTTGTAAAAAGCAAGTTTTTTTTTACTATTTTCTTTTTGATAAGAAACCATATTTCCACACATTGAAAATTGATTAAATAAATTTGAGAGAAGATGCTAGAAATAAATCTAATAAACGGTTTGACGCGCATCGTCATCTCCTCGTTTCGAAACGAGCCAAAAGCACAGCTCTCTGTCTTGTTTATATGAAAACATTACTCAAAAAATCTCCACTAAATAGACATTACTATTACCGTTACATTTTAGAGAAAAACAAATCTTATCTTCTTTTTTATTATTAGAATAATGAGAGGCATGCTCTTTTTACTCAACTTTTATCTAAAAAGTTTAGAAAAATAGTTAGAAAAATCTTTCTATACAGAGGCTGTCCCATAAATACGATGGCAATAAGAAATGAAAATCTCTTCGTCTAGATGTCGACCAAACGAGCTCAAATTTTGACCAGTCATACGAGCCATATTCAAACTCTATATTGATAAAGACATCCATAGAGAGAACCTTTCTTAACTATATTATTTTTTTTCTTGTATTTGTGCAAAAGTAAAATTTTTGTGTTGAAGTCGATAATGATAGTTAAGAAGGGTTCTCTCTATGGATGTCTTTATCAATATAAAGTTTGAATACGGCTCGTATGACTGGTCAAAATTTGAGCTCGTTTGGTCGACATCTAGACGGAGATATTTTCATTTCTTATCGCCATCTTATTTATGGGACATCCTCGACGCTTCGATGCATACTCATCTTCTCGTTTCGGTCAGTGGAAAGTCCAGGTCTTTATCTCATTCCTATAAAAAGTTATTCAAAAAATGATCACGGTCATTTATCTCTGAAATGAACATTATTCCTTTATAAAAAAAAAGCGTTAACTACTCTTAGAAAAACAAATCTTTCAGAATAATTATCTATAAGAGTTGAAAACAAATTAACTAACCTCGTTGAGTCATAGATTCCTTGTTGTTTGCTTTTTCGAGAGAATTATCGTCCTCGACCTTAATCCAAAAAGTGACCACTCATTATTTACCTATATATCTATCTATAATCACCTTATGTTCTATGCACGTATTCATTGAATATACACTGAAAGAACTCATTAGTTTATTGCAAAGAGACTTGGCCCATAGATAAAACATGGTTGTTGGTTAGCCAGTTTAAGAAGATTTTCATTTGTTAGCCATATTTGTCTAGATCCATGAGAATAGTTTGATAATAGAATAAGACAACTATTCTTATTTATTTAATAAATGCATATTTGCCTTGAACACAATCAGTTTATACTTAATTATTTAGAATATTTAATAAATATTTGTTTTTCTTGGTTTTTTTAAAGGAAAACGTGAAGAATTTCCTATTGGATTTGCTTGTGAAACTCTTTATAATAAATTCAATTAGGTTTAGATATTATTTATAAAATATAATTAATCGCGTAAATATATATGATTTAACTGAGTCAATAAATAAATAAACGATATAGAAATTCTTATTTAGAATTTCTAACCTTTAGAATAAAACTATTAAGATGAATCAATCGTTCAAGTATTCTAATCTTATGTTAAATATTGATAATTAATATGATTTGCTTTTTTTTTTGCCAATTTGATAGAAAAGCAATTGAAAATCTCTGATTAGCTGTTCAAAATCTGGATATATATATTTCTTAAAGAAATATTCTTCATTTAAAAATCAAATTTTTTATCATAGATTTATTCAAATTTGAGAGGGTGTGGGTGTGAATGTGGAACTCACTTTAAGTCGCACACCAATACCCCACACCCACACCTCACACATCCACACACACTTCACACTCACACCCATACTCCACACCCACACCTCACCCCTCCTTTATTTTAGTTTAGTTCCATGATTATACTAGGTCAGAAAAATTTGACTTCATAAATAATCTTTATTAGTAATGTACTTCATATGCTATAAATAGGAGCTTCCAAAAATGAGTCTCATCTTAGGTGTCGGCACACGTAGTGTATTCGACATTGATTGGTATTTCTTCCATTGCTTGATATCACTAGACCACGTACTATATATATATATAAATTGTTGTTTATCTAGGATCAATAAGAACGTAGAAAATAAAGAAAAGAACTATTTATTTAGTCAACTGACTACGAAAACTTCAATGATAATATAAAATAATTCGACTTATTTTAGTGATTAGTTCAATTGTTTGTCTTTGTCTTTCTTCTTTTTAACTTCTTAAACTTGTTCAATCTTTACTAAAACGACCAATAATATATATCATTTTTAAAATGGTTTATGTAAATTATCTTTGAATATTTCTATGTTTAACAGGATATTTACCTATTTTGGTAAAAAAACAAAAAATTTAATTTATCTATTATAAACGATGACCGATTTTGAGCTTGTTAATGGATATGATCAGATCAATTTTAGGATATTCGGACTTGTTCCTATATATAATAATAAATACCGTTTTTATTCGAACTTGAATAATATCTTATTCAATATTAGTCTTCTATAGAAGTCAATTTTGTTTCTATAGTCACTATTTAATTTACTTCATTATTTATTATAATGACAATTTCCAACATCTAATATTTGTTTCATAAAACTCTTTATCAACGTCGAAACTTTATACCAATTATAATATATAATATGCTTTATAGAATATATATACACTTTCATTATCATTTATTTAATATTGATTGTAGTTTTTACTCAGTGAGCTCATTTAATTATCAAAGAGTAAATTAGACAATATATCATTTTTTTATAGTTGAATATATGAAAACGATTGTGATTAAAGTATTGCTCGAAGTAGGATTGTCATTATCACAAATCTTCCTTATTTTTCATTTTATTATAGAAAATTTTAAAAAAAATGATTCAATTGTTCGATCAATAAAATATTGAAAATCTAGGAAAATTAATTAAATAGAGATTATTTATAGTTATCATCATTCGAATTAATATTATTCGATAATTTTCATCAAAACTCTTTCTCATCCTACTCGAATAAAACTATAATGACAACTAAATTAATCTCAATAGAATATGTATATACATATTTAAAATGAGTCATAAGAATATATCGAAATCAACTCTTTATGCTATTGAGAAGTTCACTAATGATAATTATTGTTTGTTGAAGAGGAAAAAAAGACCTAGCTAATATTCTTTAAATCTATATTAACTTTGAAATATTGATTTGTAATCTATTAAAGATTCGAGTCGATTTTAGTGAAAACTAGTGACTAGATTGAGATTTTTTTTTTCTCGAAGATATATTTATTTAAGATAAATATTTAAAACAATAGCTATCTGCGATTTATCTTCTATCTATTTCGACAAATAAATAATAAAATATTCTAATGATTAATAACTTAATAAGATAAATATAACTAGAGAATGATTTAATTTTTTTTTCTAAGCTATTCTCTTCCTATCAGGTATTCTCAAATATGAAAATCTCTCTAATAGGATTTAAAGAAAAAAGAAAGATTATTAGTAATGAAGATAAATATTCTTTTTCTTGTTTAAAAAAAAGAAAACAAAAATCTTGATGAGCTAGAATAAAATAATATATATTATGTTAATCTAGTTTAATGATAAAAGCAGTCATATTATCAGAAGATTCTTCTTGTAAACATTTATCAAATAAATCTGATATTATTTCAGATAAACTTTTATTTGATGCTCGTTGAGAAACAAATAATGCAACTTGTTCATTATTGATAACATCCCAAATTCCATCCGAAGCAATTATAACAAATGATGCTGATGAATCTCTTCGATATTGAATTATATCAGGTAAAGCTGGTATAATATGTTTATCTAATGAATAATCACCTAATGCACGTGTCATAGCAAGTTGATTTTCAACACGTAATACATCATTAGTAGCTTTTGTTATTTGACCACCTGCTCGACGTATACGTTGTTGTTCTTTTCGAACAGTTAGTTTATGATCTATATTTAATAGATTTTAAACAAGAAAATAATTAAAATAAAAACAAACTAACCTTTTGTAGATGATAAAACTTGTCCATCTTTTGATATAATTATTCCACGAGAATCTCCTATATTAATTAAATAAATATCATTTGGACCAATTAATGATGCTATCTATATATTAAATAGAAAAAAAAAACTCTTTTAAAACTTTTTTTAAAAATGCTTACACAAACAGATCCACTATCATCGTGAGCAATTTCACGTAAATATTTATCCAATTCACTAAATGTTCTTTTAATAATATCATTTAATTGATTATAATCAATATTAGATTGAATTTTATTAAGAGATTCTAGAAGATATTTATCAATAATATTAGCAGCGTTTTTTGCTGTTTCGCTTTCCATTATGACCATCAAATATAGACAAAAAAAGCCCAATCTTTCCATAAATAATTATCAAATGGTATTAAATATTTCGAAAAATCTTCATTTGTTTTTCTCCATCCTTGCATTGAACCAAAACCAAATAATTCATTACCATATAATTCTTTCTTTGTACATGGTTTATCTAAATATAAGTTATTTGAAGATGAACTACTTCCATTTATTTCATTCTTTTCAGACATTTTAAAAAATAATATTCTTTGTTTTAATACATGTCCGATTAAAACAATAACAATGAACTTTTGTGCTTTATATAGTATTACGTTTGCACTCATTCACCTCGTTCTCTTTCTTCGTTATAGATAGAGATGAGAGAAAAAAAACAACTAAATATGATTTGTAAAGATTACATCAACTAAATATTCTCTAGTCTTCTAATCAACCATTATTTTGTACTTGATAATCTTGTTTTATTCTTCGTTTAACCAGTTGATCTTCTCATGGAATTAATCTATGAATATGTTTGTTGATTATATAAATCGTGAGAAAAAGTGATCAGAACTCATAAACAAAAAGAAAAAAAGGTGATCATTCTTTTAATAAAAGTCTTCAATTTTTTTATATAAATAATAGACTGATCTAAATATCTTTTTCATAGTGACTTAACTTTTATACATGGTTATTATAGTTTATTTCTTTTTTAAAATTCTAATATGAAAATATTTCTATAAAAATAATTATTATCAATAAAAAGTGTCGATCGTATTTCATCAATTATTGTCAAGAGGATTGGCCTTTTTTTCGAATCTATTTATTCTAAATTGGTTTGTTTTTTGAAAACTTCTTCTCCCCAACTAAATCATGTTTAGTCAGTTTCACATGAAAAATAATAGAATCTTCCAATCAGGAATTTTATATCCACATCCACAAATCGATTTTTGTGGTTGTGCTTGGAATAGACTTGCCAGATCGAAAAACGTTACTATTTGCAATTTTGACGATCAAAATTCTTATTAATTATATATATCTCTATCGGGATTTAATCTGAAAATTTTTCGTAAGATTATTGTTTTTCTTGTTCAGCCTGACTTATATCAATTAATATTCAATTCGTCGAACGGATTGAATTACAGATAAATTTAATTCAGTTAAAGATATAACAATTATTATCTGAACAAAACGATGGTCGAATCATATTTCAATTAGCAACATATAACAATTTGGATTAAAAAATCTCTCATTTCGTCAGATCTGGCTATCTTCGATTGGAATAAACTA